AGAAGAAGAAGAGGAAGAAGAAGAAGAAGAAGAAGAAGAAGAAGAAAAAGAACTGGTAAACGTGGACCGCGACATGGCTGTGTGTGTGTACTTTTCGTTCCGCCAAGACGAGGTCAAGGTCCCCTAGGCCTTTCAAACAAATGCACAATACGGCGGTTGCAGCAAGTACGGACCAAACGTCAGAGGGGGGAAAACTAGCGCACTAAAATATGTGCGACAGGTGAAACATGCTACTATAAAGACCAGTTAAGCAAGAAGTAAATTGGAAGCACACAGTAGCACTAAACACTGCGTGAACTATTTGGGGCGTTGAGGTTCGGTTTTTGTTGGCATAGAATGAGCTGCTGCAGCAACAGAAGCGAATCGGCTTCCTTTTCGTCATCGTAGGCATCTGCTCTCACCAATGAACCGAAGTGAAGCGCTGAAACTTTATGGCTTAAGCATCCAGCCGTGTTGAAGGCTCGATAAGTATTAGCGAGCATTGACGTGCACCGGTCAGTCCCGAGGAAAAGATTTAAATGAAGTTTTTCGTTTTAATTTAGAACTGAGAGACTGCAAGTAGTCGTACGGCAACTAACAAGGATTGCAAGTACCGGAAGGTGCTAAGTAAAGCAACCACACTTGGAGGCATTCCATCAACAATAGGATAAATTACCTCCATAAAACGGTACGTAACTGTAAGGCAGAGAATTCTTTAGCCCCCAAATAACCATTAACTAGGCAGCTTTCATTTCCATCAGGAGATGGTTTGCTCAGACGAATCCAGATTATTCTCAAAGTATTGACGCACGAGTCAGGTGGAGAACAACAGCGTCAACTGATATTCTGCATGTTTATGACCAACAGGGTGAGTTTCTGATCATCCGGGAGGAAGGAGGTGGAGCAGAGGGAGAGATTAAGGCGGAGGAAAGGGGGGAGTAATTTTTTACTGCCGCTGAGATGAGAGGCCGTACGAGGGGTTATGGTCAGGAAGGTTCAATGAAGGGAACAGACTTACGCGCATCTGTTCCAATTCCGGTGGAACAGGCGTGTTCTTGGATATCTTTTCCGGACTGCTAAGGCCGAGTCGGTTAAGAGTTTGGCGGCCAGACGGTGTTCCGTCGGAAAGAGAGCTGCTACTGAGATTACCATCAAACGACGCTCCGTCTTCCGGTTTCAGTGTGAACGCAGATGTCCCCCCGGCCGTCGCTGATC